TGAAAAGCAAATGGTGGTGGTGATGGTGGAGAGAGACTAATGTCAATACATTTTTGGCAATTTCTTAAAACACCAAACACCCCTGCAGCCCTCATCCATCTGTCAAAACCAGAAGAGAACATAAACAATTGAAATAAGAAAATCACACCTTCTCTGAAAAGCTGTGAACAAAGCCAACCCACCAAAACAAAACAAAAGTCAGAGAAAGAAAAAACTCCAACTTTCTTTTTTTGGCATGCTAACAGAACTTGAATGTCTGTTATGCTGAAAAGCAACTAGTAAACATCTGCATATTCTTTTGGAAATCTGAGAAAGGACATTTACTTTCCCACCTGTCTGTTATGAGTCACACTGTCATTGTTTATATTTTTTTTTCATTGTTTATATTTTTAAAAGTCCACTGCATTTCTGTGAAACAAGCAGAGACCCGATGGGAACAACACGTTGGAAAGTATCACGTTGCAGTAAGACCTATGTTTCCCCGTTCCCAGAATCAGCGGAAGTTGCCTCAACTGAAAAAAACGTGTGTGTGTGATGCATCTAGAGAGCCAGGAAAAAGCCAAATACTTGTAGAATTCATGCCCACTTCATGTCTTCCTCCAGATAGGAAGTTACTTACGGGGTTGTTAACACACACGCACACGCATTTTTTTCCTGGAGGAAAAAATTTTCAATACAAATAAAGTACAGCGGAATCTAACAACCACTCAGCAGCCGTAACACTGTCAGGGGTCCGGGCGCTGACTTTTACTAGGTAGCTACTACCTATGTTACCTCCCACTTCTTCCCCTATTCGGGCCCCTCTGTACCATGGTGGCTGCCTTCTTAGGTGGTTTACACTTCGGGTCCACTTTTTTTCTAATTATGCTTGACTTTATGGGGACGAAGATTGGTAAAATTTCACCAAAAACAGACTTCTTATTCTTACTACGTTACAGGCCGATATTAAAGCCAAATTTATGATACCTTAAAAAAATGCATGTGATAAAGATTACGTTGTCAAATAAAAACTGTTACCGTCACGATACACATATCATACTGAATAGTGCTCACTAAGTACTTATTAAAACAAAGGCACGTGAACGCACCCCGGACAGGGCATCACGTACTACCAGAACCCAATCCTGTCCTGATCTAGTTGAAAGAAATTACCTTTTAGGGTAGTGAATGTACCTTGAAGAAATGTTTTAAGTCAAATAACGTAGAGGAAAAGTGTATTTTAAGTCCTATAATGGAGGGGGATCCCCAGGTGGCTCAGCGGTTGGGTGCTTGCCTTTGGCCCAGGCCGTGACCCTGGGGTCCTGGGATCGAGTCCCACGTCGGGCTCCCTGCGTAGAGCCTGCTTCTCCCTCTGCCTATGTCTCTGCCTCTCTCTGTGTCTCTCATGAATGAATAAATAAAATTTTTTTAGAAGTCCTATAATGGAGATCCCAAGTGTTAAAGTGACATAAACCAAATATCTGAAGTTAAACCCATTAAGAACACCCAGGTAACTCTTAATTGTCTTTAGAAAACAGACATACAATTGAGCTAGAAAAGACGTCATAAAATCATTAAATAGCATTTATGATATTAACTAAATGCTAAAAAAGCTTAAAAAAAAAAGCTTAGAAAGCTAAAAAAAAAAAATCAGTAGCCTACAGACTTTGGGAGAACTTGTGTTCCTGGAGCACGAAGATGTACTGTTTTATTGGTAATACACACTTATTAGGTTTCTTCGTGGCCATTTCTAACGGTAATGACAGACATCACAGCTAAAAGCTACAAAACTTAATGCATGAGAATACTGCCACTGATAAGATGATTAACAGTCGAAAACAGTCGTATTTAGCTACCAGCAAAATATCCAACAAAGGACGTAAGAAGATAGACCACAGAACCATAGATTCTAAACCAGCAAGAACACAGAAGCTCAACCGTGCTGGGAATCCCTGAAGAAGCAAACCATGAATGAGAACAGTTACAGCAAAACAGATCCCATACTTTCAGAAACAATACTTTTAGAAAAAAGATGGGGGGGGGGAGAGGAATGAACAAAACACACCATTTCTACATAGAGAAACGAGCGCTACGATCCTCATTCACTTAGCCAGTATTTGCTGAACGCGTGTTCTGCTACGCGGTGGGGCACGCAGTGGCTCCTTCGGGGAAACCTAGTCCAGTAATTATAACATCTAGTTCCACATGTTTTTTTGCAAAATTGGGTGATTTGAAGTCACCGAGACTGAAAGTTCAAAATGCGGATGCTCCATCCTCAGGAATTCTGACTCAGGCTTGAGTGGAACCCAAGAATCTACTTTTCAAAAAGCTTTAGCGGAAAGAGATTTTTTTCAGCTCTGCTATTAATCAGCCGTGTAGATTCTAATTCTTATTTTAGGAATGAAATTGAGGAGTCTGTTTAAAAGGCTGATTCTACGGAATGAAAATATTTTTCCGCGTGCTCCGTGCACACCACCTGACACTGGTGCGTTCAAAACGGCAGCCGTGAAACCACTTTATCAGGATGAGTCTGAAAAAAATCTAGATTCAAATTTAATTCAGACGCTCACCAAATACATAGCACCAGGCGAGTCATTCCACACCTGTGAGCATTAGGGTTCCTGCCTCTGCAAGTTGGGGGTAAAATCTGAAGTCTCTACCAGAGACGCTGGAAGCAAAAACTCAGGTATTTACTAGGCCATAAAACACACCACGTAAAGTCAAGTCGGACCACCTGCGCTGCCCGGTCATCGCAAAGCATACAAAACTACGATCCATGGATGGAAAAGACTTGGGAGGAAAAAAAAAATGGAGAAGCAGATGTTTCCCCCCACATTCATCCAACAAAATGTCCTTATTCAAGAGCTCAGGCACCGACCGAGGGCAGCGACTCCCAAATGTAAATCAGGAGCGTGGTCTCCACGAACACGTTACTAATGGTCACCGACCGTAACGCGGCGCCGGGGGCTGGGCAACGACAGGGTGGACACAGTCGCTGGAAAGACTGGAAAACCCTCGGCCGGCAGCCCGCCCGCCGCTCCGCTTCTCACCACTCTCCCTAACCCTCCAGCAAACCGTCATCTCATCGCTCGGCCACCTACGGGGCGGACACAGTCTGAGGCCTGGTGACGCAGATCCTGAAATGCTTAGTCACCGCCCAGGGCAGAGCTCCAGGACCTGTCCTCGCCCGCCCGCCCTGCCGCTGCACCGGGATCACCTCCCGGACGCACCGCCACCCACCCCGTCTCCAGGTTCAGCCTCCCCTGCTCCTTCAAATGACCTACACGCGTTATGTTCCAGACCAGAGAGCCTCAGTTCATCCACATTTCCCCGTCCGGCACGCAGAGGAGGACGCGATCCCCACGTGCGATGCCAAGGGGACGCTCGTTACGGTCACAGCGTTTTCACCCCGGCACGGCTTACGTGTGCCTTCTGTGAAGGCGTGGCCGTGTCACGTTGGGTTTTATGTTTTACGTGTGGTTTTAGAGGAAGCGCGAGCACACGCGGACGGGGAGGATGGGGAGAGGGACAGAGTCTTCAAGCAGGCTCCATGCCCAGCGCGGAGCTTGATCTCAGGACCTGGAGATCATGAGCTGAGCCAAACATCAAGAGTCCAACGTTTAACGGACTGAGTCGCCCCACGTTGTGTGTTTTAATATGCATATTATTTTAGAATATACTTATTTTGGATAATTTTAGGCTCACACACAAATGGCAGACAGAGTACTGCAAGTCCCCACACATTCCCCTTACGTGGTTTCAATTCCCTAATGTGAGCGTGCCCAGGGGCCACAGTACATCCACCCGAACCAAAAATGGGCTATTTTTAAAATGACATCTTTTGGGCAGCCCCGGTGGCGCAGTGGTTTGGCGCCGCCTGCAGCCTGGGGTGTGATCTTGGAGACCTGAGATCAAGCCCCGCATCGGGCTCCCTGCATGGAGCCTGCTTCTCCCTCTGCCTCTCTCTCTCTCTCTGTCTCTATGAATAAATAAAGTCTTTAAAAAAATTAAAAAATAAAATAAATAAAATGACATCTTTTTACACAAATTGCTTTCCTGAACCACATTTCCTTCACCCTGAACACAGGTTTCTGGCCCCTCTTACATTACGTGACACTAGCACAGGCCCTTGTATTTCATCTGGTAAGATCCAGGGCAAGAATTCACCTTGCAAGACCGACTTTAGGGGGTATAAAATACTAAAAATACTATCCTCGAGACTGGGAGGTCTCCTGCTGAAGGTAGTTTGAGTCAAGATCCAGGCCGACAACGTCCCTGTTGTCACGAGACGCACGTCAATCACGTAATTGGTAATTCACGCAAAGAGATCCCCCGGGTCGGCAGGTTCTGACCTTCGGCATCCACATCGCCCTTCTATGCATCTAACGAGTTGGCACGTCCCGCTCCTGCGGGTAAAGACCTCGACCGTCGGCCCGACACAAAGGAATGCGCAGCCCCAGCGCCTCTGAAACGCCCAGAATGAAAAGGGAAGTCTGGGCAACTCGCCGAGGCCGTGATCGGCCAAGTGTGAGACGCGGGGCTCGGGGGTGATCCGAACTCCTGACGCACCACCAGGAAACCAGAACACAGCAAGGTGCTGGCGGGAGGCTTCCTCCAGGACGGAAACAGAACTCAACTCATCCCGCGTGGAGCCGGGACCAGCCCTCGGGACAGAGCGTGGGGAACCCGAGGGCACAACTGCTGACGTCCCGGTTAAAAACGGTCACGTAGACGCGCGGACCCAAAGCCGGCACCTCTCAGCTCAACCAGCCACCCCCAGGAGAGTCTCCCCGACATTTTGCTTCTCCTCAAAAGGTGACTGATCTCCAGTTCTGTCTATCTCTGGAAACCGGGCTGTGGAATTAAGTTCCAAACTGCAGAAGAAGCCTGAGGACGCTTTCAGGGAGGCCGCGAACGCGCCGCCTTCCCGCCTCCCAGGCAGTTCCTGAGGACGGACGGGAAGGGTCAGGGACTTGTTAGAGGCGGATGGAGCCCTGGGCACCGGAGCTCCTCGACCCTACCTCGTAGTAACTGCGCACGGCGTTGCAGAATGCCTCGTCGGCCACAATCTGGGTCTCTCCGTGGAGGAAGGCCTGGAATCGGTCTTTCAGCAGCTGCAGCTGTTGCTTGTTGAGCTGTAAGACAGAGAGGGCGTGAGCTGCGACACTGCCCGCCGCAGGAAAGCATCGGTTCTAAAGCATCCTAATGGCCCCAAGTCCATTTCACGCCTACAGTTAGCTTTATGGTAGAGAAGAAAAAAAAAAAGCTGAAAGCCCCCCACTACTCATGCTGCGGCTCAACGCCCAAGTGTCTCCGGCTCTTCCTGACACTCTGGGATCCCGATGTCGCGACGCAACACAAACTTCACGGCCTGGTCTCCGCAGAAACGGGTCAAGCCCAGAACTGCGGTGAGAACTGGACCGTTGTGGACACGGCCCGCCGTCCCCGAGAGAGCAGGGGGCGGGCGTGCTGGTGGGTGATCCACGGCTGCCGCAGCCGAGGGGGCGCAGGAGGCAGGGCGCCCAGGACGGAGCAGCTGAGAGACACACGGCGTCCTGCTCCCCGGCACCCTCCTCCGTGCTTGCGGGGGACGACGGTCGGGGAGCCCAGAGCCAAGGCAGCGGCCGGGCCACCACCCCCGCCTCCCAGGGCGCCGGCCGCCCAGCACCACCCGCTCGCTGGCAGCCGCCTCGGGCCCGGGGCCACAAGAGCCCCTGCGGGAGATCGGGGAGCTCAGGACGGTGGAGGCGGAGGCCAGCACAGGCCCGGGCCCACCGCGGCGGGCACAGCAGCCGGGGCCTCCCCGGCCAGGGGACAACGCGGCCCAGGCGTGCTTTCCGTGGGGCAGGTGGGCCGCGGCCGGCTCGGGCCCCCGGGTTCGTCGGTGCGACAGGCTTGTCGCAGCGCCCCTCCAGCAGGAGAGACCAGCGCGTCCAACAGAGGAGGGGTGGCTGGTGCAGGGCGCAGCGGGCAGGCCGTCCGTTGGGGCCGGCCCACCTGGGGCGCGGGGCCCCTGCCCGAGCACCAGCCGGCTCCTTCCCCCGCCTCAGAGGGTGACCTCAGGCCGCATGGCTCTAGGCCCTGCTGGCACCGGGCAGCCCTCGCGGGGGACACGCCGGCCGCCGGGCCCCGAGCTGCAGGGGCTGCGGCAAGGCCTCACCCGACTGCCCAGGACCTCATGAGCTTTGGCCCCAGCTCCCTCTTTGGATTTAAGAAAGAGGAAATAAGCCTCAAAAACTGGAAACTCCCATCTTCCTTTACCAGATGCATCTTATCCTTTACAGCGTGCCAAGGAGTGACTTTCTGGGGGTTCTGGCCTGGAAATTTCACGGATACCGAACCCAGGAAAGGAGAGCTGAGCGGTTTTCTCGGAAGCCCCAACAACGTCGGAACAGTTCACGACGGTGCCAGAGGCGCCCGGCTGAGTACCAGGCTTCAACACTCCTGTGAGTGACGGGGACGGTGGGTACATCCGCGGTCTAAAACGACGGCCAACACCACAGCGATACGTCAAAGTCAACTTTGTTTTATAAGTACAGAGAGGTCACGTGTCCACAAAACCGAGAGAGAGAAAAAATCAGATCTAACACCCAGCGGTGGGGAGAGCTGTTTGAACCCAGAGCTCCCTGGAGTCTATTCGCATCATCAAAATAAACCACATCGTCCACCAGCAGAGAGGCTAGAACCAGATCCAGAGGTGCTCAGAGACGCGCCAGGAAAGACCTCCGCAGCACCTCACGCCGCTGGGAAAGGTGGTCTCGTCAACGGTGCCGAAGCCACCGGGTCGCCAAGCGGAAAACAACCTGCAGCATCACCTGTGCTGTCATAGGAGAGGGTCTAAGTCACGTCGACTGTAAGACGATGAAGCCGTCCAGGTGCACGACGCCTCAATTCCTCTAAACGCGGGCACGTCAGAGACCCTTGGAACCACGAACCCCAAGCCTCAGCTCATAGATTCAAACGTTAAAAATAAATTCCACGCAGCAGAAACCGCACATGCAAGACCATCGACAAAGACTAGCGAGGAAGCAGCACGCGCGTGACTCCCGCGGGAAAGAGCCTGGGCACGCACACGGCTCCCGGACGCGGGTAAGGACCAGAGAGGAAGTCCGTCGGCGAAGGCACAGCTCAGATGCAGAGAAGGAGCCTTCCGCGGGGCGAGCAGCCTGACTTCATTCATAATAAGCAAAATGCAGACCGAGGCCACGTGACGGAGCAAGGGTGCCGGGAGGACGGTGCAGCAGGAGGCACCAGGGGTCCCGTCCCGCCCGGACGCCCGCACCGGCAGCCGGGGAGTTCTGGAGTCTCCGGACGGCTTGCAGGTCACAGGGCAAGGCTGGAGTCTGCACCGCCGTCCATCCTGGCCGATCTCGGCGCCGCTCCAGGGGCAGCTAGTCGTCCCCCACGCCTCGGCCGAGGGGCAGGGGGCAAAGAGGAAAAGGAGAAGCCAACAGCCTCGGCTTCCATGAATAGGGGCCAACGAGGACCACGCCCACACAGCGGCAGCACTATTAGCTCCATAAAGAGAACGGAGACGTCCTCTTAGGTACGATATGAAAAGATCTTTAAGATCTCTGGGGGGAAGGAAGCTAGTTGTAGAACAGTGTGTAAAAATAAGCCACCACTCCCGCTGAAAAAGGGCAAAATTAGAACATGGATGTGAATCTGCTTCCCTACGCAGATGGAGACTGGGGGGAGGATGGCTGCGGGCAATGGGCAGATGGAAAATAAGTGGAAGAGATTTTTCACCCTATCCCGCTATATTCATCTGAGATCTCAAATCCCAGGACTCTTCACCAAAATTCTAATTTAGATCTAAGATAAGTCATGGTGGCGACGCTGCACGTGTTTTGACTCGGAACGGTCATGATCCGTCGCACGGACCTCAGATCCGATCATCCTGCCGGGAGACCGAACAACAGACCAACGGGCCTTTCCATCCCTCTTCCAAGCAGAGGATCTGAACGTGACCGTCCCCCACTGTGGGTTTTTTTTTTTTTTTGATATTTCATTGTTGAGTTTCAGAAAAACTTCGACAACAGAACAGAACCAGGGTAGTGATCGCGTTCGGTTTTCTGATCAAGGCATTAATCTTGACGAAATCCCGGGCAGCCCGGGGGGCTCAGCGGTTTAGCGCCGCCTTTGGCCCAAGGCGTCATCCTGGACTCCCGGGATCGAGTCCCACGTCAGGCTCCCTGCATGGAGCCTGCTTCTCCCTCTGCCTGGGTCTCTGCCTCTCTCTCTCTCTGTGTGTGTGTCTCTCTCTGAATAAATAAAATCTTTAAAAAAAATAAAAATCTTCACGCAATCCCAGGGAGGGCATCTCAGGCCGCTCCACAGCTCCTTCACCTCGCCGCGAAGCCTGCCCTCATCGTCCAGAATGGAAACGTGTCTCCCCTGCGACTTGACTTTCGCACCGTCCTGGTCCTACCGCTAAGACAGAACACACGGACGCTTACTTCCAGGAGCCGGAGGGCAGGCGCAGGCCTGGCCGCGAGCCGTCTCCCTCCCACCGCGAGCCGCAGTCCCCCGACGTCCCCAAGGGCACACGCTCCCATGTTCGTGGACCAGACACTCCATCGTTGGTAAGACTCAGCTCCGCGTAAGGACACAGACGCGCGCTGACAGCTGCAGCTCACACCGTGTGGACGTCGTAGGTCACGATGGCCTGACAGTGGCGTCCCTCCGGCAAGCGTGCTGCGTGGACGGGTCCCGATTCTCCCAACGGTGGGCCACGTCCCACGTCCTAGGCACTACTGACCCCAACCAGAGACAAATCGACTCTTCTTGGCAGTCGCGTCAATGGACTCCCATCGTGCTCAACAGAAATTTCAAAAATACCCCCGCACGTGTCCCATGAAGCCACATTCCATCCTGCTACACTTGGCCGACTGCTGCAGTTGCTCAGTATTTTTTAGGACACCGGTCCCTTCACCCAACGGCCAAGGAACTCTCCTAGCTTCATGCGCTGCCGTCGCGTGGTGCCCGCGGTCTTCACCCGGGCCCTTGCAGGAAGCCCTCAGTTCAGGATGAAGGAGAGAAACGGGGGCCGTGGCGACAGACCCGTCCAGTGTGACACGGTTTACCACTCAACGCTCTCTGGGGCAGCTGACTTTGCTAAGATTCATCCCCTGTCCCAGCCTCGCCCGCACAGCGCCTCCGCGCCAGCGTGTTTACCGGCGAATGCACACCATTTCTCTAATACAGAGAAAATTCTAATGCGAAAATTATCCAATGGGAATTTTTAGAGAGCTTTTTACATGAAACTACATTGCACAAACTAGAACATAAATATCTTTGCAAATATCTAAATACAGCCAAGTGATCAGCCTCATAAACACCACACCTCGAACACCGACAGTGAAAGCTCGGGTCTATGAGTCCTGGCTGCCAGCGGTGATTTATCCGTGATAACTGCCGCAGGAAAAGACAATTCCCCAAGTCCAGGGATGTTTTATGTTTCTTAGGTGTTTCTTTTTTTTTTTTTTTCTCTCCCATGTTCAAATTAGAGTCTAGCCTGTTTCTTCTAAGTCATGACCAACTGAAGACTCCCAGCCGTACCTCGACTACAGCAGGAGACCAGCCCGAGGACAGTCGGGAGCCCGGGAGCCGGCGAGCACGGCTGTGCTCTGCATCCAGAGTCCCGGCCCTCGGGCGGGCGCTGCGTGACGTCCCCTACGCAGAGGGGCCGGCAGGTTCAGGCCCCCCAGGACGGGGTGGGTGACGGCCTGGACCTCAAAGAGATTCTCACAAATGTCTTTCCAGGGAGCAGAAGGGACAGGTGGCCTCCGACTTGCACAGGCACGGCGCTAGTGCCTGTTAACGATGCACAGGGAGAGACACTCCTAAGGAGAGGTGAAGGACAGGTGCTTCTTCCATGGTCCCCCCTGGGCGCCACTGGAAAGGTCCCCCCGCAACCACCGGAGCAGATTACCCGGCGCCTTCCAGGTCTCTGCACGAACAGACCCTCCGGGTTGCCCACCAGGGCCTAACAACGGGGCCATGACCAGGTCGCACTCGTGGGAACCCCCCAGAGCACTGCCACCAGCAGCTGCCACCCACGCATGAATGTGTACGACCACGAGCGACACCGACGTGGTGCTTCCAAGGGAAGGCCTAGGGGATGTGAGCAACA